TCTCTCTCTCTCTCTCTCTCTCACACACACACACACTCTCACACACACACACACACACTCTCACTCTCTCTCTCTCTCTCACACACACACACACACACACACACACTCTCACTGGTGAAAGTGAATAAATAAACAGCAGCGTCAGTGAGACACTGAGCAGAGATTCAGGACCTCATCAACAGCAGAGCTCGTCCAATCAAACGCATGAGCAAACCCACGCCTGCCGTTATTCATTTATGTCATTAAAAACTGCTCGTTAACACTGGAAATATGTACAAACACGACCTTACAAAGAGCACTTTATCAGAAACACATCAGTCTGAATATTTACTCTTTTAAGAGCCACTTTTAAGCTACAAGAACCCTAAAAAATAGAGTTTGAGAACATTTAGTAACTCAACTTTTGCATTTTCTTAAGGAACATGCATGCATGTGCCTGTGCGAAACATTCATTTTCAATAATTCAGTCCCATTTTTATGCATTTTAATGCAATTCATGTTCTGATGACTACATAAAAAGATATGAGCACATCAGAAATGGTTTATGTATAAATGTGCTTGTGTGTCGGACGTGCATTATATCTTCTTTTCTTCATGTATTCTCTTTCTGTTCTTTATTCTCTCCAGCTGTTTTGAAGCTTTATGGATTGTTTTTAAGTCTTAAAAAAGCCTTAAATGTAGAAAATATTACCAGCATCTTCCTTTTGAAGTCTTGTCCTCCCCCTCGCTCTGTATTTAGTTCTGTGCTGCTTAACTTACAGTCAGAGGACAGCCAACATCGCTACCCACAATTCTTTGCTACAACCTGAACTAATAACACTTAGACATTACAGGACCACATCAGTGACGTCATTAAGCATGATGATTTTTATCGCAAATACAATGGTCTTAAACCTTTGACCAGTAGGTGGCAGTGTTATTTTAGCATCACTGAGATACTATTATAGTTACTGTTCATATTTTAAATTAGATTGTATTTTTATATTTTCTGCTTTTACTTTAATTTTAGTTAAAGTTTTAATAATTTTGTTGTGTATTTATGTAATTTTTTGCAGTAAAATTAATAAATTAAATAATAAAAACCATATTGTTTATAATAAATTTTTATTTCAGTTATATATCAAGTTAATCTACATAAATGTCTCCTTAAATTATAAAAAAAAAACTACTTGAAATTCTGAAATGTCTATGCTTTTATATTCTTATAGTTTTTAAAAATATATTTTATTTATTCATTGTTATTATTTTTCATTAAAACCAAAATGAGAAATGTTGCCTTGGCAATAAGCTGAAATTTAAAAAAAAGTTGGTAACATTTTTTATTTTATTTCAGTTCAATTGTTTTATAGATTTGTAGTATTTTTTATTTAATCAAAAATGAGAAATATTGCCTTGGCAACTTTCTGAAACAAAATAAGTTAATATTTATTTAATTTCAAGTAAAAATTTTTAAATAATAAAAACTATATAATTTTTTATTAATTCTTATTTCGGGTTTAGTTATTTTAACATCAAGTTATAATAACTGAGAGATGATAAATGTTTCCTTGCTGAGCAACTAGCTGAAATATCATACAAGTTTTATTAGTTTTTTAATTTTTTAATATGTCTATATAGTTTTTTTTTTAAATAATTGATTTTATTTATTATTTTTTATTTAAACACTAAAACAAAAAAATGCTGCCTTGTCAACTAGCTGAAATAAATTTACAGTTTTTAAATATTTTATTTTATTTCAGTTAAAATGTATTTAATTTCTAGTAACGACAATGTTTTTTATGGTTTTAGTTATTAGTTCGGTGATTTTAGTTTTAAGTATAATAACTAGGTGGCGCTGCACACATGATGGGTCAATCCAAACAGGCTGATCTAGACACTAATGATCGAATAAGAAGAGACACAGAGAGATGTTTGACTCGCATGAACATCCTCTCTCCGCAGGAAGTGGCTCCAGACGGCGGGAGCTCAGAGGTCAGAGGTCAGCGGCTCTTACCATGAGCGAGTGTCTGTTGGAGGGCAGCAGTCCGCCGCTGTATCCGGCGCTCAGGCCGCCCATGGCTCCGTTGTGAGAGTGAGACGGAGTGACCAGTTCATGCATGTCTGCGTGAGCGCCGGGCATCGCTGTGGACGGACCGACCGCGTGACTGCGCAACACGTGGATGGCATCGTCCAGCCGCTCCAGCCTGTCCTCGATACGACTCTGCTGCAGGACAGAGACACACAATCATGCATGATCAAACCCGTTTCACACTCAATCTACTGCATTAGGGCTGTCAAAACGGCTGAAAAACTACATTCGAATTTTGTACTAAAATATCATCAATATTCAAATTATATTCAAATTTAAAAGGCATAATTTCTGTTAGGGGGGAAAAAAGCTCTTGGCTTCTCTCTTGAGGCCACAAGAGGGCGCATCGAGCAAAATATTACTAATGCACGTTTCTTCAAAGCAATAAAATAACACTACTATCTTTCAAAAAAAAGTGCATAATGTTTAAAATAATGTTTATAAACCATATTTGTGACCCTAGAGCACAAAAGCAGTCATAAGTCGCTGGGGTATATTTGTAGCAATAGCCAAAAATACATTGTATGGGTCAAAATTATACATTTTTCTTTTATGCCAAATATCATTAGGATATTAAGTAAAGATCATGTTCCATGAATATATTTTGTAAATTTCCTACCGTAAATATATCAAAACTTCAGTTTTGATTAGTAATATGCATTGCTAAGAACTTAATTTGGACAACTTTAAAGGTGATTTTTTCAATATTTTGATTTTTTGCACCCTCAGATTTCAATTTTCAAATATCTCGGCCAAATATTGTCCTATCCTAACTTATTTATTCAGCTTTCAGATGATGTATAAATCTCAATTTCGAAAAATTGACACTTGGTTTTGTGTTCCAGGGTCACATATAATTAATTACATTGCTTAAACAATTAGAAACAAAACAGCATCATGTATGTACATATAGTTTAATACAAAGGACCGAAAACCAATCACAAAGAGTACTTTTTTCATTTAAAAACATGAGATGCAGTGGGATGCAGAAAAACCGCCATAAAGTCTCGAGACATGTTTATTAAAAGTTGAACTTGCATTAATTTTACATGGCTTTCTGAACATGCGGCTCTCTCGTGCGGTTGTGGCTAGAAGGGATACAGCGAAAACCGGAAGCTAACAATAAATGTAATTTTCTACATCATGTTCACACACAACGCTCTGCACTCACTCCTGATTTCTGTCACCATGGCAACACCAGAACTGTCACTCAAGACATGGAAACAAAGTAACTGGAGTTACTCATTTAAAAAAGTAACTCAGATATTTCCTTCTAAATTTAAAAGTAATGCGTTACACATTACATGATTCTCCATCAATCATTTTTTAGAAAAATCACTGCGTCACAAATCTGATCCTCAGGATCTTTTGAGGAGCGTTTGTTTCCAGCAGCTTTACTTTCACTGTTCCTCAGCGGAGGAATGATCTTCACAAGCCTCCAGAACATCTCACATCTTCTGAGGAGCCTTTATTTCTTCAGCTCTCAATCACTGCATTATATGTTTGGAGCATTTCAATCTCATCTTGTAGGAACAGAGTTTGTGTTTCTGTGTCTGTATCTCTCACCAGCGAGTGCAGCGGCGGCTCGTAACTCGGGGACGAGGCTCCCTGACCGTTTCTGGACCAGACGGCTGTACTGGCAGCTAAAGAGACAAAAACATCATCATCATCATCATCATCATCATAGAGAACAACAACCGTCTCTAGCAACATCCTGATTAACAAAACAAATGATGAGATTTAACAGCTTCATGTTTTGACAGTCTTATTTAACTTTCACTGATATATTATTACAGTTTTGTTAATATTTTGAATTAGATTTGTTGTTTTCTGTTTTCAATTTAATTTTAGTTGAAGTCTGAACAGTTTTACTGTGTGTTTTTTAATTTTCATTAGGTAGGTTTTCTTTTTAAAGTTTTAGTTAACTATAATATAATTTCAGGGTTTTTACTATTCAGCATGTGCAAAATTACCAAATGACTGATTTGTATAATACTTTCTAATCAGTATTACTGAGAAAGGGTTATTATAGTTAACTAAAACTAAAACTAAAATTAAAACCACACACACACACACACACGCACAAAAAACAAACAAACAAACAAACAAACAAATGAAACAAAACATTTTGGTTACTTGAAATAAAATAAAGGTTAACTGAAATAAAATAAAAAAATGTATAACAACATTTCTCATTTTAACTTAGTTTAACTTAATGTACTAAAATAACTAAAACTGAAATAAAAATGAATAAAAACTCATATATATATATATATATATATATTTATATATATATACTCATATCCCCATATATATAAATAAAACCAAAAACTACCAAAAACACACAACAAAATTACTAAAACATTAACTAAAATTAAAATGGAAACAAAATATGAAAATAAAATTCATTAATAAAAACTACATAAAATTAATAAAATATTAATAAAAACTATAATAGTATTTCAATCATACTAAAACAACCCTGCATTGAAATACAATTGATATTTTTTAAATTTTAGATTTTTTTATAGTTTTCATTTTATTTTTTAAAATTTGTAGAATTTTGTTGTGTTTTTGTAACGCGGTTGGTCCAAAGTCCTGTAACTTCTTTTAATATGTCTGTAATAGCATTTAAATTTATTTTATTTTATTTTATTTTAACTAATCAAAAATGAGAAATGATGCCTTGGCAACTAGCCGAAATAAAATAATTTTTAATTTTTATGTTTTATTTTATTTCAGTTTGATTTAATTTCACCTGAAGCTTCATGAATATAATGGTTTTGCTTTTATTTTCGAGAGACTGGTCATTTTTAATCCTTGTTTATGTGGTCAAATCTTTCTTCTGGCCTAATGCTAAAACATTCCCCTCATATCCTATAAAGGTGACGACCCTCATGCTAATAACACCTCGTTATTCTTTCATTCTCGAGTTAAGATGCAAACTCGTTTGCGGCGGCCGGTTCACAGCGGTAATTAGAGAGATTCATCCGTTCTCCCTGACCTTCACCTGTTTGCGTTTGCGGCATCCGCTCATTACGCACGTCGCGTCTAATTATGTTGTGTTTTTTCAAATCGTACTTCTTTACAGAAACACGCATTTCAGACGCGTCCCTGTATTATTAAACCTCATTTCCCAATGCTAATTAGCACATAATTACAGCCACATTCATGTGCAAATAAATTTTGCATGTATCCGCGCCGCCGCCAATGAGAAAATTATTAAATTAGTTACTTAAACTTCCCTCGCATGTTTAAGTTTAAATATTAATTTGCGGTTGCGCATTTAATGGTTGGTGGTCTAATAACTTTGGCACTCGGAGAAATAGCAATTAGGCGGCGGTCGTTTCATAGCGATGCGAATAATGACTCGTTAATCAGGCCTTGAGATGAAGTGTGTTTCAGAGTTTGAATCGTATATGAAGAATGAAACATAAAAAGCTTTTCAACTTGAAATCAATGGCTTTAGCATTGTGCAGTATATATATATTAAGTAATTTATTTTTATATGCATAAAATCATTTATTTTAGTAGGAGATATTGATATTTACTTAAGACTTGACATTTCATTTCCAGTATGATGTATTTATCTGACAAAAGTAATATATTTTAAGTGTAAATTTTGTAAAAAAAAAGTTTGTTCATTTTGTTGTGTGTTTTTGATTTTTAAATATATTTTTTTATCTGTCTATATAGTTTTTATTAATTTTTATTTCAGTTTTAATTTTACTTATTTTAGAACAATGTTTCCTTGGGAAAAAGCTGAAATAAAGTTTTTTTTTTAAGGTTTTAATTTTAGTTAACTGTAAAAAACTTGGTGGCACATAAATAACAGTACTCAGTATATATTGCATATTAAAGCAGTAAACAGAGAGTAATCAAGTGACTGGCATCAGTGCAAACAGCTGTGTGTGTGTTTAAACTCTGTTAAGAATAAACACACACACACTCTCTCACAAACACACACACACACACACACACACACACGTGTTGTGTTTCCATGTTTTATGGGGACTCTCCATAGGCGTAATGGTTTTTATACTGTAAAAACCGCATGTGCTATTGCCCTACACCAACCCTAAACCTACCCCTTACAGGAAACGTTGTGCTATTTCAGATTTTCAATACACTCCATTCTGTGTGATTTATATGCGTT